ATATACATTGTCCAGAAAAGATCTGTTCTTGACCTTGATTGGGAAGATAAAATCACTGCATCGGAAAGATATTCTATGCTCAACCAAAAGGAGTACTATTTCAAAACTAAGCTTGTGTACATTTCTCCTCCTTGCAACGTGAACTTTTAATCCTTATACCAATTTTACTCCATTGTTTCTACAGATTTACTAGCAATTTTTAAGGCATAAAAATCGAACCTTTAAAAATTAAAAGCTAGATACTTTGACAATCTCAATCCCACTCCTAAAGTAACACCAATAACCAAAGAAAAAAACCGAAATAGACCACAATAACAATCCAAATATCCAATTTAATACCTAAAAATAACGTCCCGACTGTGTGATAAAAAATGTAGATACATATACAAATATGTACGAATAGTAAAAGAAATAAGTAAAAAAATTAAATTTTAAAGGCAAAGAAAAGTTACCTCAGATAGCGAACTGCATGGTTTTGATGGAAGGCAGAGAGCTGAATGAGCTTCTTTAAGTTCTCCTGTCAATGTTAAAATCGCGTCGGCCGGAAGGAGAAGAGCCACGGCGGTGGATGGTGGTCGGGGGGCCGAGCGACGGCCTTGGATTGCAGCGATAGAGGTCGGGTGTGAAAGGTTTTAGGGCTCCTGGGCTCGGGCTACGGGAAAGCCTCATAAAAATGGTAAAAAAAGAAAATTAACTAACTAAATTAACTTTCGAAAAAAAAATTAACTCTTTTGGAGAATGGACTCGCATACTCAAATTACTATGTACATTTTTTTTTACCAATAAATTACTATGTACTTTATCTTACTTAAAATTTCTCACACAAAAGTAAAATTTAAGCTCCAATTGCACCTAATAAAAATTCGTCTAAAACAAATGAAATTGATTTTGAAATGAAGTTCAAATCTTTATCACATGATTAGAATGTTGGGCTTTATGGCAAGCCTCTAAAAAAAGAACAAAAAAATGAAAAATAAATAGAATTTGGGTGCCAATTCTACCACTATCGTCGCCCCTTAGTCTCCCAATTTTCCTATACTTTGTAATTTTACCCACAGGTTGTAGGACTTTCGAGATTTATCCCCTTGTCTTTGCTTTAGGCAATTTCAATTAGGTCCTCAGGATTAGATTAGGTGACTATTAGTTAATAAATTAATACTTCAATTTGTCAAATTAAGTTATAATTTATTTCATTTTCCATTTTTAGAATTGATGTAACTCATATGGAGCATGAGTGCATTTAATTATTCCTTCTTAGAATTGGTGTAACTCATATGGAGTATAGGTGCATTTAATTATCATAAATTTTTCTTATTTTTCTTTCTTTTCTTGTATTTTTACCTTAATTACTTTTTATTATTATGGAGTGTGACCGATAGGTGAAGAGTGTGTTATTCCTTAGCTTTTCCAAACGAAAGTTTTGGAACTAATCATTTTGTTTTATTTTATTTTCATACGTGATGCTTGTTTTTTATGCATTTAGATTTTACTTAAATGCACGTCATGTATCTAGAAATAAGTTAACTCATTTTTGTCATTAAAATTAGAAGATCGAAATTAAACTCGCAATTAGTTTTATCGGGTGTAAGAAATGCTTGAGGGTAAAATCTTGATCTTTCCTTCCTCACAAATGTAGATTCCAATCTCATTTATTTGATTTCGAAGAATTTGGCGTTGTGATTCTAATTTGTATTTCAAAAATAAAAAATTACTCTTTTTAAGTAACTTGATACACCTAACTGAATACCGAGTGGCAATTCTAAATTTTTTAAAAACCTTTTTTTTTAAGATTCTAGTGGATCTAAATTCATCGCCTTTGTCAAGTCCTATTGTAGGCTCTTTGACTTTTCTTTTTAAGGCTGTTTGTCAAGTCCCACAAAGTTCTAATTGATAGTTTTTCAACCCCAACCCCTACCCCCATCCGTGACCCCGACCCCCGCGACCCAAACCCTAGCCTCAGCCCTACCTCTACCCCCAGGCATGACCAATGAACCACTTCCAAAATCACTATCTAGTGACCTTGGCCGTGTAGCTTCAACAACGGTCGTCTCGGGAGTAATCTCCACATTTTTTTGCAGTGCAAAGAAAATTGGAACGGCAACTTGATAAGGCAGATGCCCCTGTCACGGCAGGTAAAACCTTCGAACTTGCTGATTTGACTGCAAAATAAACGGACCTGGAGTTTGAACTTGTAAGGTTGGAGGAGAAGGTCGAGTATTGCAACCGTCGATTTGAAGACATCTGGGGCTTGCTTTTTGTAGCCGCCGTCTTCGCTATAGGTGCGTTCATGAACAGCAGCCGACGGGGACCAGATTAGGTACATTCTAAATTGCTTTCACTTGAAACAGTGTTAAGTTTTGAAATGTTAGAAGGACTTGGGTCTTTCTTGGTAGGTAAGTGAGGATTGTAATAGATGAACTGAATGCATCGTGTGGTTGGTTAAGGCTGCAGGTGGGGTGGTTTGGTGGCAAGGAGACCACTGAGGGAGTTTGTGGCGAGGTGGTTATGGAGTCTACTTTTTTTTATGCCTCTGTTCTCCGGTTTGTTTGTTTTTTGATGCCATATTCTCTGGTTTTGTAGGCTTGGAGGCGATCACCTGGGGTGTAGTGTACCATATATTTCAGGTGTAGTTGTGCATATTGCTTTGTTCAATTGTTGTAGATGGCAATGAGTAGTCCTCTTCCTCTGGTCCCCTCTTTCTGATTGGAATATAAGATCTAAATTGTGGGTTTTATTCATTATCCCTTGGCTTTTCCATTTTTCTTGAAGGAACTGATGTTTGATGTCTGCTCATTCTTACTGTAGTGCTAAGTGTCAAAGCTGTTTTGAGGTAGTTGTTTGGTTTGAAAAATCATCTTCTGACCTTTTTTTTTTGTTGATTATCCGTCATTCCTTGAAGTCTCTTTCTGTGTGAAGCTTAAATTTCACATAAATTTTAGTTTTCGTGGAATGACAACTGATTTTGCAAAAGACCATTGGTTTTTGCTTTTCTTATGTTGTTCACCTGGAACCAAAAAAAAATATATGCAAAAAAAATTTAGACAATAACAATATATTATTACCAACCACTAGTTCTTATCTATTTTGGTGTCTATTCTCAAATATCTCTTTAAATAGTTTATTTGCACCCATTTTTGTTTTCAATTTTTAATAGGTATTAACAAATAGAAATTGTTAAATGACGAGTAATGATTTCATTATCAAACTAGATGGAAATGAAGACAATGATAGTGATAAAAATTAAAAAAATTAAGGATAAGAAGTGGAATAGGGATTAAATAAATATTATACTATTATGGTTGTTATGAAAAAAAAGGTGTTCCTGATATATTTTTAACTGCATTTTGTTTTTTTATTTGCAATTATTAGTGATGTTATTCTTATAGAAAGAATTTGATTGATTTTGAACTTTGTGCTGATGAAGTATAGTGGATATTGATATTAGTAGTGATGGATTAGACTATTTTGTATTTAAAAGGTGGCAGGCATGGATTGAAATTTAGAAATATTGATGAATATTGCTTTGTATTAAACAAAATTTGAGATTGTAGGTAAACTTTTAGGTATTTGATGCGGTGTTTGTAATTGATACAGTGGTTTGCACCGAAAAGTTTTAGACAAAAAAGGGACATTAGAACAAATGTAAGTATTTATTTAGTGGTGATTTGGATGTTAATAAGTAAGCAATGGTGATGACAAATAAAAATGAATAAAATGGAGACAATGAACCATTTTTTTCATGCTTAATTTTGTTGTGAATTATAACTCAAGGGCATTATAGGATTTTTGAGAAAAGTCTAGCCTCTTGGGTCTGGAATATTACTTATACAATGAAAATAGGAGAGGTAGGTGTAATTTTTAGAACTTGAGAGGAGTTTTCTACAATTGTCAAAACCTTAGGAGAGGTATGTGAAATTATCCCTTTGATAATTAAATTTGGTTTATCTTGATAAGATATGCAATGTCTAATATACTTTTTTGTTTTAACAATAACAGTTATATAACTATTATACTCTAACCTAATTAGGAGGAGGAGGAGCATGGGAAACCGTGGAGAAAACCACTTGAAAGTGACAGTCACAATTAAGTGACAAGTGTATGGTTGGAGGCAAGAGTTGAACCTACCAAGACTTTAGACCAATAGCCTAACAAGCTGCTAGCCCAGTGTCTAGTATACTTGTGTTTGTAAAATTGCAACAATTACGGCCCATAAAATGAAACTAGGATGGCTAGCACGATTGAATTGCATTGAATTAAAGGCTGGAGAAGTAAAGCCGCCAAGATTTTTTTATGCTTAAGTTTTAAATCAGCTGTTCATATTGTTCAAATAGGCTATTAGAAGCAAAATGAAATTAATAGCTTGCAGCTAAAGACTGATGAGCGAGTAAATTTTTTGAGTCATTTCATTTTGGTTCTCTCCAATAACACGAAAAGTGCTTGTGTTTTATTCTGAAAGCCATTCACTGCTCATTTAAGATTCCTTTACATTGAGAATTTCATTGATCAGCAACGACGGTGCATTCAAAGGAATGTACTCGTTCCAATTACATCAGCAGCTAGCATTAGTGTTGTTACACAATATGTTACCAACAAAATCACCAGCAAGCAAGGAACTCATCCACCGAAATCCCAATTTTGCCTAGTTAAAGGTATCCTTCTCCAGTTTGCAACTACGTCCTTCCAACAGGCAAGAACAGCAGAAACAGGAATGTGCTGAAGTATTACTTTGGCTCTGTATGAATTAAGTGTTTTTTAGCGTATTTTAATATTCTAGTTCATTGTTTCCCTTTTTATCTTAGAAACCATTCCAAAATTAATTTGTTCCATAAACAAGTAAGGTTTAATAGAACAAACTCGATTTAAGAGAGGGGGGGGGGGGGGGAAGCGAATCAGGCATTCATCTTCTGCAGATGAAACAAGAATTGATGGCATAATGAGATTAACTATTACTTCACTAATAATGAGCATCAGGTACTGAAAGGATCGTGAGTCGAAAAGAATAGTGAACACTAAAAATAAATAAATAAATCAATTCTTGTTGGATTGTCAGATGAATAAAAATCAAGAAAGATTCAAAATAGCACCAGAAATGGAGGAGCGGAGTTGCAAGCAGCCACTCCAACTAATCCTGCCAGAAGAGAAGCAACACAATACATCTTCCCATTATGATAAGCCTACTTCTTTGCTCTTTGAGATACTCTCCTACAACTTTACATCGACATCTTTTCTTACAAGAACTTCCATTGACTGAAGCACTGTTCATCTTCATATACTTTTCACCCGCAAAGTTCTTCCTCTAGGCACTATATATAAATATAATAGAGCAATGCTGCACTTTATAATTGAAATTCTAAAGAAGAAAAGATGGAGGGCGTCAATCCACAATTGAACATCAAGGAAGATCACAATCCTCCTCTTATAGAGGATAAATTCACTTTGGGCCCAACATCCACTCGTTTACTGGACGCACATTTTTTTTTTCAAGTTCTTCCCCCTTCTTCATTGATTGAAAGTCGCAAAGCTGATCCTGTATAGACTAATAATACATAGATTCAATCTGCCTGACCAAATTTACATACACATGTACTGAACATTTTATGAAACAACTTGGTAAATAAAGCGGCAAGAGTTACTCTGAAACAATTGAACAAGTGACTTGCCCTCAAAAGCCCACCTACAATTTTCCTTTTGAATTTTATTTTTTGCAATTTTTTACTCTGGGAAAGGTACTTACAACGGTATGCTGATGCATAAATTGAGCTTGGCACCTCAAATGCTTAATTACTGATCCAATCACTTACCAGTTACGAAGCTTAAACATTCTGCAGGGCAGTGCTAAATTTTCATTTTTTACCAGCTACATGATGGAAGTACAGGTCCCATGCTGAGTTTGCACTTCCCTACATGCAATTATCCGGGAATACCAAAAGCGCACAGCCCCAAAGGATCGAAAAGCACGTGATTATTGCAAGACAATACATGGTTCCTGTCTTTAATATGGCAGACAATCTTCCTTCATTATGTGCTTATACAACACCCCGTTGATTTCACCTACGAACCTAACCATTTCCTCCTCTTATCAAACTTCAAGCCATGGTTGATGAGTGAACAATTTTTAATGGATGAAAGGCAAATTAAAATGCTCAGTTCCAAGGAGACAAAACACAATACAAGCGGAGCTGTTGCGTCTTTTCTTTTTCCCTCTTGCCAGAAAAAGGAATTGTGTCAGTTTACCTTGGCTGCTAACTAAAAGTTGAGCTGAGCACCAAATTTCACAAAACTAGAATTCCTCTCAGCATGCACTGTTTCAGCATGGGGCTTGTACGTGCAACCATAAAATTTGTGCCCTCATACAACAGGTTCATGATCAGGAGGACAAGATTCAAGCATGTAAAAGTCAGCTCCTCCACATTCACTTTTTGCAGCTGCAGCATGTAGAGGGGGACAACAGAAGTGAAATTATAAGGTTTGTAAAACCTTGTGGAATAAGCAATTACAACTAAGGAGAGCTTTGAAATATTCCAGATCGTAGCCAAGGATTTTAGAACTGATAAAAAAAACGTGCAAGCAATTACAACTAAAAAGAGCTTTGAAATATTTCAGATCGTAGCCAAGGATTTTAGAACTGATGAAAAAACGTGCAATTTCGAACTTATGTGTAAACTGATCAAAGTTTAGCATTCAGATTGTGCATGTACTGTATTTTTCTTTAAGTTAGCAAACGGAAAAGATAGTGAGTAGACAATTTAACATAAGCAAAAATACCACAGCTTAATTCAAGTTAGAATAAGCACCATAGCTGTTAATAAAGCAAAGTGCATATCCAACCAAAAAGAATGAAAACTCTACAGCATTTCCACCTTGTACAGATTAAGAAGATGGCCTATATTTGTGCTCAAAATCTAAATAAAGTTTAACCCTCAACTTTCCAAATGACAGTTAAGATTATTTTACCCCGAAATACTTTAAGAACTAAACACATTTTCTTCCCTCTTCCTAGTATATACTGAAAATCTACTGATAGATGGTCAAACAGATATATACATCTCATGGTTTTGATAAACAACTTTCAATTCAGGAAAATTCAGCTGATAAGGAGTTGAGCCATCATGGTACATGATAAGGATTTTACCTTTTTACTGATGAAGTAGAGGAAAGACATAGGGCAGAGGTGAAGAAATGGAGCCAAACCAATAATGTCAATGAAAGATCAACTGTCTCCACATATCATGAAGAAAATTACCATAGATCAAGACCCAAAAGAAATTGCTGATAGCAGAGTTGCTTTTAACTCCTCAATATCCTTGAGCATTTTGTCATTCTCAAAGTTTCTAGCCTGAATCTCAACTTGTAAAGCTGCATCTCACCACAAATTGCAACACAAGAATAAGTGTGAGGTGACGAACAAGCCTAAACAGCACCAATGATAGTTACAGAATTTATAGAAGATTCACCAGCTTCATTGTGGAAGCAGAATTTGGCAATTAACAAGTTTAAAGAAGGCCATATCACACAAGGGTTTGTAAACCTTACTTCCAGCTTATTGTGTTTAAGAAAAACTATCAACAGATTAAAAAAAGAAAGAAAAAGGAATAAAAATGTGTAGCACAAAGAGAAAGAAAGAAAAAACTAGCATTACCAGATATAGAACCCTGAAGATCTTCAACTATATCTTCCATGAATGCCATCATTGAGTTTTTCAGAGCGTTATTCTTCTTATTCAAATCATCAATTTCATTTTCTAGCACTTGTTTCTCCTCCAGCAATACCAAAGCTCTATCATTTTCTCGCTTGCTGATTTCTTCCTGAAAATCTAGGCATACAACCATGAATTGTTCCCTGTACACAAACAGAAAAAGTCTTGACAGGGCAGTCCGCAACTTGGTGTTAGAAAGATAGACCATTAGAACTGCAGCAAGCAAACAAAATTGCACTTTGACAGACAACGGAATTCTACATAGGATTCAAATAGCCATTTCACACAACTTGACAACCCATAGAAATCGAAACAGCGAATCAGATACCTGCTATCAGAAAAATGATTTCCTACAGAAAAAGGTATAAGGGGGCAAAAGTAAAAAGAAGTTTGGACTTGTTTTTGGCAACATAGCTATACAAAATCAGGATATGCGACTATTTTGAAAGTTCCAGATTAGTTAAAAAAAAAACACAGTAAAGCAAACAAAGAACCTAATTTCTGATGTACGCCAACTTCTACTTGTTTTCCTGGCAGACACTTTCAGAGTATTACCGCTTGCTGTTCATTCTTCTCTTTATCTCGTTTTTCTTCATTCTGAGACAGCATATCTCATTTTCCAATACTTTCACTGAGCTTGTCGAATCATCTGGGAAACACAACACGGATGAAACAGTGCATCATTCTCCTAAAAACTATAGGTGTCAAAAAAAGAATTTTTTTCCCAATTATCTATAATATTGGAGTTAATTCGGGCAATATAAGTCTACTATTTGATCAGAAAAGTAAGCAAAATACTTAAATTTAATGTTTCCATATGCCGAAAAACAATTAATATAAGCTACTCTACCCTACTGATTTTTTTTTTGGTTAAGTAATTTGCACCTGTGACAATCTTCAGGCTGTGGATTTCGAGCTGTAACATGTACGCCGTTCTCATCAATTCGAGCTCTCGAGCAATTAAAGCGGTCTCGATTTCTCCGCACTTGACGATCTCCGATTCGATGTCTCTGGTGATCTGAATATTCTTCTCGATTTCTTCGTTCACCTAAAATTTGAAGACCAAATTAGAACAAATAATAATAAATACTAAATAAATTGTGGACATATATACATGCATGTATAAATGGCGTACATGATCAAGCATATCCTTGAGAGAGGAGATCTGACAGAGAATTGCACCTGAATCCTCCATTGCTCTCTTCCCGCGCTTTTTTTTGGTGTTTTCACTTCTCAAATGTGCCTAACACACAATTATTCGATTCGATTGGATTCGATTCGGGCGGGTCACATATAGAAATCATTTTCTGTTTGAATATTCGAATTAGTACATATTTTCTCTCACAGTTCTTGTCTATTAGCCATTGTCGGTTGTGTGTGCCAACCCATTTAACTGAATTTAGCCATACTCATCCATGAATAGATGGGTATGGGTATTTTAAATTTTTATATATAGGTATAAATGGATTACCTAATAATACCCATTTATTTGTTGGTTTTGTCTTATCATTTTATTTTCTCTTAGTTTGTTAACTTGCTCATTTTTCAGTATTACCAATTTATGATAAGTTTTAACTTCTTTTCTTATCTTTTCAAAATGAAATTTTAAATTTATATATAAAAAAAAATGTTAGGGGTTCAAAATTTTTGGATTAAGTTTTTATATTAACTTTTATAGTATTTCGTTCAAATTTTTATATTCTTATTATTCAATTATTAAATAATATGTAATTTTGCGACATAGAGTATGGATGGGAAAAAAATTGGTAATTAGGCTTATTGAGCATTATAAGTAAATATTTAAAACTAATAATATGTGCAAAGAACGGTATAAATTGATAATTTAGTTTGCAAAAATGAATTTAAATGAGTTTACAAAAAAGTTAAAATAAATGGGTTATAAATGGATAATTGGGTTACCCAATTCATTTTTTGACTTATCCATTTATACCCATCTAATTAAATAGGTATAAATGGGTTGAATCACTTATACCCATTACCCATTTTACCGAACCCAAACCCGCCCAAATCACCCATTTTGACACCTCTAATTGTGTGGCTTGATAGGTTAGGACTTAGGAGTTTGCTCAATTGCTCTGCATAAGTTGAACTCCTAATTTGAGGAACCGTTTGGATCGAAGGAAAAGATACTACAGTGATTAAAAAAAATAGACTATTTGCTTAATTTATTGTTAAAATATTCCACATGTCTTTTGTATCAATGTCTTTACTGTGTCCAGTGATGCCAAAAAAAAAAAAAAAAGGAATGAACTTGTAAATGTTATGGTTTAGATAAAATAGACTAATTGATTATTTAATTGTCAAAATACGTGCATGTTGTGATCTAAAGAAAAAAGTAAACTCAAACACGTTTGATTGTCAATTTACACTTTGAATTGCAGTAAATGGAAAAGCATGGATTGTAAATTATTTGAGATATTTTTATTGTAGCACTTTTTGTGATGTGATGTATGTGAGATAAAAAGGTAATTGGAAAAATAAAAAACTGTATTGGAAATTGTAATGGTGATGTAAGCAAATATATTTAGGGAAATAACCCACTATCCAAACAAACTCATTGTTATTTTGGTAGCATAAAGTTTTGGGGGTTAAATAAATTTATAAAATGTTAATCTTTTTTTCCCAAATAAATTTTTTTTTTTTTTTGTAAAATATACTAGTGAAAGCTTATGGTGAATACATATAATGCAACAATGACAAGGATACAGGGCAAAAGATCTAGAAAGAAGATGTTAGAAAACAAAGATGAAAAACGGATATCTTATGTGCATCGACCTTCCATTTCGAAGGAAGGATTTATGCACTAGTATATTTAATACTACAAAGTTGCTTTTTACATATGACTGATTACCATAGTGTTGTGTTTCTTTGAAACTAAATTATTGATTAAAGGATTAAAATAGTCAAAGATTCATTAGGTGAACTACCCTTTTGTGACCTTTGAAACTATTGAAACTTTTTTTTTTTTTTCGAATAATCATGTACACAAACTTAATACTACATACTTTTTTTAAATTTTGTTTTTTTCTAAATGGGAAGGGAAAAGATGAGAGCCCAATACTTTTAAATTCTAAATGCTCAATTAGATCGACCAAGTCCTCCTAGACAAACTTAACATACCTTAATATATACTAATGGCTTGTTTGGATTGCGGTTTTCCGTCGGAAAATTACATCGTTTTCCGTGATCACATTTCTCTTTTATCTTTTTTCTTTACATACATCAAATCGCTACAGTAACTTTTCCATGAAAAATCATGAAAAATGCAATCCAAACACAACCTAATTTCTTCGAAAAGAAGCCAAACATGATTAATAAAAATGAATATAACTTAGACACAACAAAAATATTTTCATGATTTTTGGTGTTTTGTTACGTTATAGCTTTGGAAAATCATTTCCCATACAAGTTGTTTTACATCGATCAGTGAAAAGCAAAAATTTCTGCAACTGAAATACTCGTGAAGTTGTTTTCCAACTTCACTGAGCAGTCCACTAACTGCTGTCATCTTTTCAATGAAGACAGAGATATTAATCAATGGAGACAGGAGGATCTTCATGAATTTAAAGAATGGCCTCAACAATACATCAGCAAAGGGTTGGTAAATGGAGATAAAATCTGCGAGTGGCAAAATAAATTAAGTTGGGCTATGCATTACAGCCCCAGTGTACGAGGACTTCAGCTCCTCACTTCTGACTAACTCAACAGAAATATACTCCCTGCATGCACATTAATAACAGAAATAAGCTATAGCAATGTATCCAGAAATATGAGAAATATTAATTAATCAAGAACAGGAAAAACAAAAATTCATGCCATATAACAATCAAGGGACCTCATTTTGGTTAGAGAACATGAATGTGGATGGAACCTTGGCTTCTTCCCTGGTGAATGGAGAACAGGGATGATTTCAGAAACCTCCCCTGATCCAGGCTTACAAATAGCATCAAGGTCTACACCAGACAAGGGTAAAATTGCGAGTGAGGGTTGCTTTTAGAACATGAACCAAGTTTCAGATAAAAAGAAATCACAATCCACAACTGCCCAGCTACAGAGCAATCATTTCTAGGAAGAAGGCAAAGATGTCTTTCTACAATGAGAAGCATAATACGAGGCTTTCGCCAAACGGGAACAGGACTCCCAACATCTGCAAAGTTTTAACAAATGCAAATAAGGAGTTAGAAGCATACATGAGGGGTAATTTGAAAGATTAAGAATCTTGATAGTGTATTGTGTTGTAAATACTGTCGGATTTTCATCATATGCCATCCAGCTTCGAACTTTGCTTCTGAAGACTTGTGCAGACACATTGAATTTGATTTCTCATCTGGGACAGCTTTTCTCCTGCCCAGTTTTGAACTTGTCGCTGGCTCCTGTAAATGAAACTTGGGAGATAAATGAGCAGATAGAAAATGGAGGCTACCTTGACAACAAACCACAATTTACTTGCTTCAATTCCTTGTCAAAACCTGGGCTCGTCAGATGCAATGTTTACAGTTCACCAACTTCTTCAGTCAAACAGAATGAACGGAATAACAGAAGTTTTTAATGCTTTAAGAACATAAATGCAGCATTAAATAGATATTGATTGGACCTCATTTGAAGCGTTTCACTTTTTTGAGCAGGCACCCTCATCTTTTTCTGGCTTTTCAATTTCCTTCAAGTGCAACATCTCTGAAACCAAAGAGAACCCACTGGCCTTTGCGGTGGGAAGAGGTACCCCAGTAGGCCTGCTACCTCTCTGCTTCCTAAAAATGCAACTTCCCATCCAACGACTCCCCTCTCCAGCCTTGCCCCCAACCCCCACACAAGAAACAAAAAAAAAAAAAAAAAACTCCCTTTATTCTTCCTTTCTGCACAATTTGAGCTTGGAATTTGTTGCTATCTACTAAACCCCAGAAAATTTTGTTACTGATGAGGAAACCTCTCCGTAGAAGGACTACCATGAATGCATCTATGCCATTTTGATCACTTGTTGCGAAGTTTGTTGTAGTACAATGCCATATTATATCAAAGACAGAGTAATACTTTAAGGTTATTATGGTCCGCTTTCAAAGAATGAAAAATTTTCTCGTCAAAGTAATGAGATTTAACAATAAAGGGGAAAGCTGGAATAAAACATGTTTTAGACCAAATTCACGTTTGATTTCTATGCCACAGTAGTACGTAGCACTGATGATCGATTATACCTATGCCATTATATGAGCATTTTTTTTAAAATTATTTTCAAAGAAGCTAAATTCTAACACCCTGCAATAGTCTGGTACTGATCTAACCTGGCTATGTTAAATTCATCACGATGAACATAACTTAGTAGTATATAAATCTTGGTATAACTTGTATATGTAGTGTTCTTGGGAAAAGAAGAATTATTGGAGGGATTCAACAGTTATAAAGATATTATCAATAGCTGTCTAAAAAAAAGGATAAATGAGTAGAACTGGTAAGAGTCTAGTTTTTCAGTATAAACCAATCGCTCTGCCTTCATCTTTCTTTTCCACACAACCCTTTAAAACATTTCTTCATCAGTTCCCAAATATTGAAGCCCCCTCGTATTTGCATTGCTGTTGGGGATATATGAGCTTCACTATAGTGCTGCTGCTGCTGGGGAAATGACGAGACCAGCTTGAATTGGAGGCTGCATTCGTCAAAATCCCTTTTTTCTGTATTAAAATTAAGCAAAGTTTTAACTCGAAAAAGAAACAAAATCATCCCGCTCGAGCCAGTAGAAAAAGTTGAAGTTGCCAGGGTGCACATTTGAACATGAACATGCAGCTTCAGTCTTCCCCTAAAAGGTAAAGGGGGTATGAAACATATGAATAATGATCTTCAGATTAAAATGACACTGCTATTTGAAACGTGATTGAAGACTAATTAATTCATTTTTATCAGCAAACTAAGATCCCAAGTAAGTCATTGCTATGAGCTTCGTAATGAGAACTTGTTCATGAAATGAGCAATAAATATCCTCTCTAGAAGCCGATATTAAGCCCTATGTAATAAAATTTCAGATGGACTACAGGCCAACTTTCGTCTATAACAAGCAGTATAAAGAGAATACGCAAGTAACATAACCTTTAAATTCCACCAGTAAAGCAACATAGAAACAGAAACATCGAATCAAGAAGTACTTGTTTCTTCGGCAAAAGGAGCAACTGTGTTCAAAAATACCATCAAGATATGAACTTGAAGTACATATAACTGTGGCCACCCAGGCTTACAAATGGCATCAAGGTTTACACCAGACAAGGGTAAAATTGCGAGTGAGGGTTGCTTTCAAAACATCAACCAAGTT